CACACACACACACACACACACACACACACACACACACACACACACACACACACACACGCACTAACACACATACACAAAGATGCTCTATAATCCACCCCTTAGCGCAGCGTATAAAGAAAGTCATTGGATTCTTCCTATTTCTTCTCATTCATTTGTTTATGAAAGGTGACAAATCGAGGTATGAAATCTTGTGTTCAGTATGATTTAGTTTAAAACTTGACTCAAACCGTCAACCAAAGCCCAAACACCCCATGCACCCGGATCTGGTGGCATGTCTTTCTTATCATCCATACTAGCAACATACGTTGCACGACCTAAACGAGCTCTCATCGTCTTTGTAGCTTCTGCACCTTCTTTGGCGGCTGCGACACTATCCGCGAGAGATTTGCCATTCGCCAATGATTCACAAAATGGAGTGAGTGCGTCAACCAAGGTACGATCGCCTGGACGAGCGGGTGTGTAGGTACCCAAATTGGTCAATGCTGCTTGGGCTGCATAACCCCATTCTTTAATCGTTGCTGGTTGGCCTGCTTTGCCGGGACCGGTTACCAAACCTTGAACTAAACCGGCAAAGAAGAGAGCATAAATGGCACCACTCGTGCCACCCATAGCACTTTCCAAAACTGTTCCGATACTCAAACAAGTACCTGCAGCATTGTTGAGATCGATCTCTCCTTTCTTCAAAGCTTCAATCGTAGCTTTGGCAGCATGCTCCAAAGTTTCACCTGCATCACCATCACCAACGATGGTATCGAATCGTGTCATATCTGGTTCTGCTGCAATTGCATTTTCGCATGCTTTTGTGATCGCACGTTGGGTAAGTTGTGGATCTCCGTTTGTTGGGCCACCTTGACTAGATTTTGCATCATCCGTTAAACCGCTCACACTGCCACCTTTTTGACGAACAGATTTCAATCGTTCGATCGCCTCTTGTTCTTCTGCTTTACGATCGCGTGGCTTTCCTGTAGCTTGTCCCCAGCCTGTGCGGACGCCTGACCATGCATAAGCATCAGTCGGTGCATCCAACAATTCCAAAACATTCTGTCCGGTTTCCTTTAAGATCTTCTTGTGATTCACCAAAGAGATACCGAAGCCTGGCGCATTGAGAGAAGTCATGTATTGATTGGCATAACAACGTGCAGGATGCAAGCTGTACGTATCGGCTAATTGGGTGATCACTTCATTCAATAAAGCATTCATTTCCAATTGACTTACACCGCCCAAATTATTCAACAGAACTGCGGGTGCATCATCTTTGTCAAATGCAACGTAGGCACGATCTGTATCGTTTTGGTTCAACAACAGATGCAACATTTCTCGAATTAGTTCGGATGCTGGCGGTGTCTTGTCCAATCTTTTGAATCCGGGTTCGTTGTGGATACCCATTCCGATTTCGCATGCTTCGGCGGGTAAGGCACCCCAATCTTCCGCATTTTTGGAGCGACCTGGTACGTGACAATGGTCTAGAGAAGTACCGATGGATACCGTACCCTCGATCAAAGCATCACCCAAGGTTTTCAATTGTTTCACGTTTAAACCTTTTTCCGAACCTGCACCGAGAACCTTGCAAGTGATAATGTTTCCGGCCAAACCACGACGACCGACCAAGCCACCACGTTCACGGCCAACGGCAACATCATCTCCCACGATGACCATTTCAACGCCTCCGCTGCTCTTGTTACCGCTGTAAGCCAATGCTGCGCGAGCCTTTTCGGTTGCTAAACCAAAGTTCAAACAATCACCTGTGTATCTGTTCACGACAAAAATTACACCTGCATCTGTATTTGCCAAATCCAATCCGCTGCAAATTTGCGAAGCAGATGGAGAAGCAAAAATTTCACCAGAAACGGCGGCAGTGAGCATACCACGACCGATCACTCCAGCGTGACCAGGTTCGTGACCTGCACCACCTCCAGAAATGATGGCAACTTTTGAATTTGAATGAGTTGTATCATAGATAATTTTGTGAGGTGCATAGCTGTGGAATAAGAATGAAAGTAGATTTCAGTCAGGCCAAAGTATCAAGATGTGCACATATTTTTCTGTTCCACTTACTATCTCAATGCTGGATTTAAAGCGATTGCACCACGTTCAGCTTTGTCCACCAAGCCATCAGCAGAATCAAAGAAGTGTTTTGTACTCATGATAGATGGAATATCCGCTTTTTAAAGATGAAGAAAGAGACTTTTTTTTAAGAAAGGGATGATGGGAATGAATATTAAGCTAAAGAAATGTTTCTTTCTGCTTGCTGTCATGCGTCTTTGTTTGATCTGCTGTAGAATCACTTCCACCTTTTGAGCGGGGGGGTGAATACTTCTGAAATGAAACAGAAGAATGGTCCGTGCCTGGCGCTAATATTCATTAAGCACGAAAGCATCATCATTCGCGCGCGGCGATGCACACGATCCGATACACTGATACAATGCATTCGCCACTCGGTGACTTCCTTAATCTATGACGAAATGCAAACAAATCAATGAAGTCGTGGCACAAAAGACAAGAAGGAAGTCACGTTGCAGAAATATTGACCCAATTCACTGGGCCACCCACAACATACCTGGGTGCATTTGATCGAATAGCTTCTGCTAGCTTTAAAAGTCTCTATACAGGCAAGTATGAATCTACAAAATTGCACACATAAGATATCAAGGTAGGAATGATGACCATCTGATACTAAACAAAGAAAATCATTGACTTTTATCATTCAATGCGGTGCAAGTAGCTGCTGAGCGGGATGAGCTTGTGCTGCGCTGCGCAGCGCAGCGTGCCGTTTAGTAGGCCTTCGATAAGCTTCTAAGCAGAAGCCGGTCGGTCTTCCGTGTACAAATGTGTTATGCAGCAGCACCTCAGCAGTCGCTCGTTCAAATTGCCTTCCACGTCATTAGTGAGGGTACCTGAGCTGTGTTAAAGTTGCATTGCATGTCGCGCGGAGTGCGTGCGTTTAGCAATGTGCACCCTATTTAAACTTTCTCTCTTTTGAAATACAATCAGTGGTTATCATTCCTCCTAATACTCCCACCACCACCAACTACACCTCCTCATCACACATGTCCTATCTCTCACCACCCTACACAGATGATGATGATGCCCGGTCAACATCTTCATCATCAAATAGTTCCACAAAAGGCTATGAGACTAAATTAGCCCTCAAATTACGTTCGGTAGATCCAGAAAGAGCTGCTCGTCTTGCAGCTCGTGCCGCTCGTAATCGTGTTTCCGCTCAAAAAAGTCGTGATAGAAAAAAGAAACTCGTATCGGAAATGGAACAAGAATCCAATCAGTTACGTGCAGAAAAGGCAGAATTGGAAGAACGTGTACGAACATTAGAAGGCTTGGTCAAGACTTTATTGATGAATCAAAACCTATCTCCGACAACTCAAATGGATCCTTTTTCGATCGCAGCGCCACGAGAGAATGTACTTTCGCCTACTGATCTACTTTCCAAATTCACTACAAAACCTTGCAATCAAGTATCATCTCATCAACAGCAAAGTATATATGATTCTCATGCTTGCCTCCCAGCAGAGGAGGTGACATTCAATCGTCATGATGACAATCATGAACGGTCGAATGCCCTGCAGCGGGCATGGATTCTATCTTGGCTTACGATGAGCGCAAAGGCTTTGACTTCATTGGACACTTGTCAAACGGATTCAGTGAAAGAGATCACAATGGCATTGCAACACACTCTCAAATCGGCAGCAGCATCGATACAAACGAAGGATCACAAGTTGAGAATACAGAGACGGGCTCCAATTCATCAGCGTCTACGGAACTCGGCCAGGACATGTTCGAAACGCCGTTCTGCTTTACATCATCACCATCTTCGACCGATTCAATGTCATTAGCTGAAGAGAATTTATGGATAGCACAATGTCTTGAATCGGCTGCTTTAGCGAATGATCAAGGGAGCACAAGAGATTCGACGGTGCATGATGAACCTCAAAAGATCGTTTGAGTTCATGTATCAGTATGGAATATGGTGACGGGCAAGGAGAAATCGAATGCTTAGGACAAAGCTTTTGCTTCATTTCTGAGGGTATGATGGCGTACATCTGGCAAATCGATCTTATTGTATACTTTTACTAGCGAATCGTTATTATCGATTTCGACTTCTCACGTATCCGTGTCTTCAATGATATTTTTTAGTTGTTTCAAATTCGTGTGTCTTTATGATAGATTGTACAATTTTTCACTCCCTTCCCATTTCAATGCATCTTCACGATCCATGACATCGGATCTTCGAGCAATCGTTTCCAATCATTGACGAAATTTGCCAATTCAATACCCTCTACGATTCGATGATCCGCTGAAAAACTTATTGGCAAAATTGTTGCTGGTCTGACCTTGCCATTTTCCGGATCTCCTTCAAATCTAGGTAAAATTCTTGCCCTGCCGACAGCGCCAATAATCATTTGACCGGTCGGTGGAATCAAAGGGAATGTATGTGTTCCTCCGATGCTGCCTATATTACTCAAAGTGATGGTAGCGCCGCTGCCTGTTTCGCTTTGTGTTAAATTTCGGCTTGCGCCGATGCTTTGCAAATTTCCTATCTGTCGAGCAATATCGTTAATAGACAAAGATCGAACATCACCCTGAAGAGTGGGCGTTAAAAGACCTTTTGAAGATGCAAATGCAATCGAAATACGATGTTCTTTTGCTTGTTTTAATGTCATCGATTGAGTGTCAAGTATGCTTCGGAATAAAGGGTGATCGTTCAAAGTGATCGATAATGCTTTCAAGAGAAAAGGCAATAAAGTCAATTTTGACTCTTCGTTCGATTTAATGCTTTTCCCGTTCGCCTTGACAATTCGCTTTCGGACGGCTTCCAGTGTTGTTATATCAATCTCATCGCTGTAACCAAAATGAGGTGCTGTCCAAGTGTTGCTCATTGCTTTGAACATTGCTTTACGTACTCCTGTAATGGGAATCGTATCTGTGGCCAAAGTGGAATTTCTTATCGATTGACTAGAATGTTCAGAATCAGTTGTCTTTTGTTTATATTGTGATTTAGATGCAATGAATTGTTGAACGTCCTCTTTTGTTACCCTACCATCTTTGCCGGTACCACGAATTTCACCAATTTGAACGTCATTTTCTCTCGTCAATCGACGAACAGCAGGAGTGGCCAATGTAGCAAATCGAGAAGCAGACGAAGAAGGCTCGCTTTCTTCTTTAGCTCCAAATTCTTGAGTTGTATGATTTGTAGTATCCTGGGCTTTCTCGTGTTTTTCCTCATTAACTTCTTTCGCTTCATTCGAATGATCTTGTTCAACTGGTTCTTCGTCCGAATTTTGCGCAGATTCCAACTGAATACGACACAAAGGACTGCCTACTTTGGCCACCTGCCCAACCTGATAGCAATATTCTATAACTGTTCCCGTATAGCGAGAAGTGATTTCAACGCTTGCTTTATCTGATTGCACTTCTACCAAATTATCAAATTCTTCCACTCGAGTGCCAGGCTCGACAAACCATTTCACGATCTCACATTCCGTTATGCCTTCACCAACGTCTGCCAGAAGATAATCGACTATCTTTGCACCATCAACTTTCTGTGTGCTTTGTTGAAAGATTGCATTGCTGGAAAAAGATCTTTTCAATTGAGCAATTCCGAAAGAGGTGTTTTGCCGAGAAGGGGAAACAAGTGGTGAAGATCTACTATACTTTGATGCTGGATGAGATGCAAATATAATACGTCGATCATTCCTCCTTTTGAATGTGTTTGAGGATGTGCAAGTACTGTAAAGTAAACTTCTTTTATCTAAAGAAATAAGAATTGTTCCATTTGTATTCAACCTTTCCAAATACCTTTTTGCCGTAGAGCGACAGCTTAGTCGCAAGCCTGACATTTGATTTGAGAGTTGAAATGGTCAAAGGAATATTGAGTTTGATGATGGAGTTGGTTTGCTAACCTTCAACTTTGGTTTTTTTTTTCTTGCCAATGCGGGGAAGTGAAATGAACGCGTTCGCAAGAATTTCCGAAATACCGCGGAGACGGCGGAGTGTTTAAATGCTGCTTATATAATGCACCAAAATTCACCGATCAATCTTTCTTCTTCTAAAAAGCACGCCATCGACAGCACGCTAATGCTATGACACACACTTGCATTTCAGTGATTTAGTGCCTTTTTAACAGTTAAACCTCGGACAATATTCAAAAGAGAACTTCTTGGCCGAAACTGATCTGTGCAGGTGGTGGTGGTGGTGATGATGTTGAAAACACTCTTCTCACCACCATTCCAACTTAAAAAAAGAAAGAGAAAAATGTCATCTCCAACGCCTATCATCGTTTGGTGTCATCCAAGATCGGTTTCATCCGCATTCGAACGTGCTTTTATGCAAAGGCCCGATACACGCAGTTATCATGAACCTCTGAGTATGCCATTTTATTATGGAGAAAAAAGACCTTGTCACCGATACGATGATGATGCTTGTAAGGCAACCTCTGAAGGTCGCTATTGGAATTCAACCGTTGAAGGTACATTAAAGAGCGTTTTGGCGGAAACCGAATCAGGTGTAGAAGAGAACGTAACCGTTGGACAACATGAAAAAACCGCATGTCGTTATATTTTCATCAAGGTTTGTATTTCTTGTTGCATGCATGTATGCATTCGATCACTGATCATTCAATCTTCTTTTCTATACAGGACATGGCTCAATACGTTTTCTCCGCAGGAGCTTTGAGAAGTCTACATCCCGATTCTACAGTTTACAAGCCGAATGATAAACAAGCTGCAATTGCTTTCAACGATCCGTTGGAAAATCCTACAATCCTTCCAATTGATCTTTTGCGCAGATTCAAGCATACTTTTCTCATGCGGACACCAAAGAAGAGCGTTCCTAGCTACTGGAAATGTGTACAAGATGGCGCAGCAGGTTTCGCATATTTTGATGCAGCTGAAGCCGGCTACGTTGAATTGAAGCTTTTATACGATTGGATGGCAAATCCAAAATCAACGTTCCACACGGCAGAAGAGACTAACGACGCACATTTGATACCTGGTCAAGTGCAAGCTCAACCCATGCCTCCTCCATTGGTTGATGCTTCTGATTTATTGGCCCGACCAGATGATGTTGTTGCGCGATATTGTGCAGCGATCGGAGTCCCCTTTGATGATGGAATGTTGAGTTGGGAAAGTGGTACAGTGAATGCATTCAATTCATGGCAAGGATACCATACTGCCGCTCAAAATAGTACAGGATTCAAACGTGAAACACCAGTCGATCCAAGCGCAGAACAAGCAGGTAAACCTCGTAAACGTGTGGATAGTGTAGATAGCGCAAAGAGTGAATCACAAGGCCAAGAGAAGCAAGACGACAAAGATGGAAAGAAAGATTCGGAGAAGCAAAATCTACCAAAGGAAGTTACCGACGCGATCAAGTAAGTATAAGTCTATGAAGAGACATTTCTCAATGGCTCATCACGCATTTCTGACCATGCTTTTTCTCCATCTAGTGCCAATCTGGATTCGTATAATTATCTGTACGCTTTCCGCAGCATCAAGACTGCCTAGTTCGCTACTTGCTGATGACCAGTCGCATATCTCATCACATTCAGTCGACTTGAATTGGCGCTCTAAACGGTGGAGTTCATACTCTCGCTAGTAATACAATTTTGATGAAAAGAAGAACGAAAGAGTAAAGACTCGTTGTGAATTTATCTGCTGCGACGGCCCAGTCGAATGAAACTCTATCATTCATTTTCACATGTCCCATGCATCTTCTTCTTCTTCATTCAACGGGGCTGTTGGAATGGGTAAAGCATGTCGGCTACCGTTCGCTACACTTTTCTCATTTGCGGACGAGGTTGAGGATGTTGAGGGACTTTGTATACGTTTTACGGAACCCAGTCTGGATTTCGCCTGCGGCGAGTTGCGAGCTGTGCTTGTATTCACAACTATATTGCGACTCATTGGCTCTTGTGTTTTTCGGTGAAGAGTGCCATTCAATGGCGCGGCTGCAAAGGTTGTCCAATCATCTTCGTCATCCATTACGTTCATCAGATCGCCATTCTGGGACCAAGAAACGGTTTGAGGTGCTTCTGCATTTGCTGTTTCAAGTTCGGGTTCATCCTCCATCATACCTAGGGACATTGCATTGTCATCTTCTTTCTGCGAAATGTGCATGGAATTGAGATCAAAAGCGGCAGCAGTAGTATTGAGGCGTGTCTGAGAGCCTTGTCTCGATGATGAAAGAGAACCAGCTTGATTAGATATAGGCTGTAAACTTCCGTTAGTGACAGCCTGCGGGATTGTAGCGTTTTCAAACTTTCTGTCCTGGCTCTCTTTCGCGCCAGTTTCGATGCCACCGCCAAATCTTGCGACTGTCCATTGAGCGAGAGCTGTAGCAGCACTTGTCGTCGATTGTACCGTGACATTTGGCATCAGAGAAGATGAGACGGCATCTATATTATCTCGTTGGGAGTGATCTTCGCTTGATCCCATGCGGGTGGCTGCTTCCTCTATCTTTTTCAAGAATAGATCCAAAGCGCTCTTTGCTTGCTCACGTACGCCCTGATCGCTATCTAAAAGGCATGGACAGATGGAGGGTAGAATTTGATTCGCACTTTCAACACCATCAAAACTTTCAGCTGTTGCCATGAATGCCATAATTCCAGCAATACGTGCAGGAACAAAAGTATCTTTTAGTACACGTATGAAAGCCGGAATGAGAACCTTTTTCCTCGTTGAAAGGCTCAATTTCGGTGCTAGATTGCCCAATAATATTGTGGTATTAGTACGAATTTGAGCTTCTGAATCGACTTGTGTTCTTGCCAATTGCCGCAAAAGGTCATTGTTCAAGATGCGTTCGGACAATTTATCTGATAGTGGCACAATTGCACGAACGGTGGCTTCCCTGATCACAGCTGAAGTATCGATGAAACCGCTCAAAAGTTGTGGCCAAATTCGTTCAGAGATTTGTTTGCTATCTAATTTCTGAATGAACATCGTCAGGTTGTCCAATAAAGCCATACGAATCGATCGATCGGCGCTTTGAAACGTTTGAAAAATAGTGGGCGCTACTGCTCTTTTCCAATCCTCGTCATTCAGCGGTTGACCTAATTGAACGATCAAAGGTAACAATCGACTTGCGTGCAGGCTTACAGGAATGCTTGTTATCCTTTCTCCGTCAGAGTGTCCGACGTTGCTTGTCGTTGCGCCACTTGATCCACTGGCCAACGTCATAGCATTGACCAAAACCGGTAATACTTTATGTTGAAGGAATTCAGGCGGAAAGGATTGTGATGATTGTTTGATGGTTTTCAAAATTTGAGCACGATCCTCTTCCGATGATAAAATGAAACCGTCTAGTCCGTTGGCCACCTTTACTAACCTATTTTCAGCGAAAAATCCGCCTGGAACTTTGTTTCCCGCTTCCTCAAATGTTTCAATTTTCAATCGAGATTTAGCGTTGGGCAAAAGCATTCTTTTCATCAGGGCGAATAAAGGAGCTGGTACTCGACCTTGAGCCGGAATTGCATTTGCATTAGAACTTGAAGGTGCAAGAGTGCCATTGTATGCTTCTATAATCATCCTTCCAAAAGCATAAGAGTCGAAAGCATGAATCTCTAACTCTTTCAACACGCTCCATCCAGCTTGTTTCACTTCTGGTGGAGCATTTCGAATCGCATCGGGCACCATACCTCCCATCGTATAAAGTAAAGAAGTTGCATCAGATGAACCAATGAGATCATTCGATGATGATGGATCGCTAACAAGCTCAAGTCCACCTAGTCGCCATTCTCCAGAAGGTGCGAGAAAAATGCTGTCTATCCGAACGTTGCCATGTGAAACGTGCATATCTGAATGCATAAAACGCAAAGCATTAGTAACTTTGGATAAACCCCAACCAACCCATTCGTCTTTCTGTGTTTGCGTGGTTGATGTAGATCTCTCTTTGCCATAGCCGCTACTGCTACCACTTGCACCATGGTTACTCATCTCTGCCAAGATTTTACCAAGCGGACGAATGTGTTCCACCGCGATAAAAACACCGCTTGGTGTTTCTGCACTGTTTAGTAATCTAATCACATCTGGATGTCGGGTCGTACGCAATCTTCTAAGTGCATTTCTTGCCAAAGGAAGTAGGGATTTTTTCGAATTAGAGTGTGATGATTGTTGTGAATCGAATATTAACATCGAACATGGCATTCCATCTTCCTTTCGTATTGCTGAATGAAGTGACCAAATTGTTCTGCCTTCGAACCAATTATCTCTTTCTCCGATCGTATATTCAGGCAAAGGTCCACTTTTTCCGGTCAGCAAAGCTGATGCGGCAGAAAAGAAGGACGACATGTCATCAAGTTGGTCTTTGGAAGGATTAAAGAAAGGAAGAAAGATCAAACGAATCACCACCTTCCTATTCTCTAATTTAGCGTGTAAAGCGTAAAGCAGTGCATCTTATTAAATACTGGAAGAGTGCACAACTTTACAAAAAGTTTAACGGTCTTGCGCACGCACGCAGGCACACAGGAAATACAAAGCATAATAATGTATTATTAGTAGGTGAAAGGAAACGCGTATCAAATCTCTCCCAATCAATGTACAATCACCATTCTCGTCATCATTCGAATTGATAAAAAGAGTGAAAAACTCTCATTGTAATGCTCTCTTCATTCTATCCTTTTGTCGATCAAACTTCGTGCGTAAACCACGTGAAGTATTCTTCACATCTTCATCTTCTCCTTCATCGTCACTTTGCAAACGGACACTGGCACACGGGATCTCGATTCCATCATAGACATGTTCCCCAGTTTCCAGTCCACCCGGAACGAGAAGTTTTTCATTATTGGGCGTCATGCCTAACATTGCCGCTGCTTTTGGATTGTCAGATGTGATAAAAGTCGTATTGCGACGTTCTTTTTTCTGCTTAGATATGCTTTGGTCATCATTGCTGTCGATTTTTGAGCTTGAAATAGTGCATTCATTGTCATCAATTGCTCTTGATCTTTTCATAAACCTATCAGCATCCAAAATAGGATTTGAAATTTCACGCTGCATCCTTGTAGGTGAGGGCGATGTACCGGCAGAAGAATTTGGGCTTTGACGCTTTATCAGATTTGTTGTGATGCTATTGTCGCTCGTTTTAACTTCTAGACTTTTTTGTAAAGGACCAAAAGCTTCTTCTAACATTTTTTCATCCAAGCGATGTCGAGGAATTGGCAAAAAGCTGGGCATGACTATTTCTTTCTCTGTGATATGAAGGTGGTCCTTTTTCCGAGGGCTTACACCATTTTCAAAAGGGTTTTCATCTCCTTCAGCCGTTAAGCGTTCCAGAAAAACCTTGTTCTTGCTCTGCACGTGAATGTCATCATCACTTCTACTCCTTTTGTTCCTGCGACGTCTGTAAAGTGGTACTGGTTGAACATCTTTGGCTTGTTCGGCAGAATTGACAGATGTCTCTGATTGGAGATTGGTTCCTCTTTCAAGCATTGCAGTCAAAGGCATAAATGGAACACTTTTTCGTCTTTGAAGATCGCTTGCATCATCAAAGTGAAGTAAAAAGTTTGTCGAAATGCTAGACCTTCTACGAGCAAATGTATTCTCAAATGAATGTCCACTTGAGGGAAAGTAAGGATTTGTAGGAGAACTTGGAACGGAATTTGACATGCCCGTTGCGGTTGAAGATCTACGAGAGATATCGCAATCGAAAGGGCTCATTGGACTGTTTGGAATTGATCTAGGCTGCAACAAATGACGAAATTCTTCTTCTTCTAAGCCATCAAACCATAATCGACCATCTTCGTCTCGATGACGAAGCGCTAATTGACGTTTTTGCATTTGAGATAAGCCAAACAATTTATCCATTTCAGCTTGAACTTCGTAGCGAATTGGACGAAATTGAGTAGGCCTTACGGGCACTTTGGGATCCGAATCATTAGTAGAAGGAATTTGGACCATTTTTACACCTGACAGGAATGTGAAAGGATTGAATCTTTTGGGGATACGAGGATTGGATCTCTTTTCAGATAAAGACCTTCTTTTATAAAGCTTTCTTGAATGAGAATTTCATTAATACATGGACAAAGGAACAAAGTCTTCATCATCGCAAAGTGCATTTAACCGAATTTGTGGATCGAACAAAGGGAAGAATATATGCTGCAAGGAGATGACCAGTATATCAATTGAACAACAAAGGGAATCATCATTACCAAAAATGCTAAGGCGCTAAAATAAAAAGCCACAATGCGGACCGCACAAACTCAATTCCCCTTTGTGTGTTTTTTGTTAGAATGCCGGGCGAATGTTCGAACAACAACAACCTGAAGCGCAAAGTCAGTCTTGAAACAACAATACGCCGCGTACACGGTGAAGAGCGACGCTAATCATCTTTTAGCGTACAAACTTTCGTTGTTAATAATGTGGAAAGTGGCGCGAGAGGCACTTTTTCAAAACCGGAAAAATGTCCAATAAAGCCAATTGTATAGACGATTGAGAAGAAGAAATAAGGTCAAGGCGGACTGCTCCGCTGACTCTATTGATGTACTCTGTGTAGCATCTTGTGTTAAGTCCTTCACCTCCTCTTTTTGCACTTCCTCTTTCTCAAGGCTCTCAGCCTGCATCCATTCACCGTTCCTCTTCTTCTCTAGAGACTGCCAATATTTGCTTGGAAGAGCCCGATGAATGCGAGTGTATAGACATCATGAATGAAGAAACTTTGACCGGCTTGACTGACCTCATTTCAAAACAGGCAACTATGATGTACTACCTTTGGTAATGTTGAACGGATGTAAAGCCAAAGAGTGTGAAGTGAAAGCATGGAAAGGAGGGCAGAGGAAAGACAAATGTTCATGTCAAATGTACCATTTCTTCTGTTGCGCCACTTGTTCAAATGCCATGTCATGATCCGATCTTGAGCGACGTACGAGACGATCTTTCATGAATCTGGAAAGGTTTCATCTGTTCGGCTTTTGAATGCGGATAAGAAGAGGCCACCGACAGTCTCTTCTTACTCCGCCGTCATCATCTTCTCCTCATTACACCGTCATCATCCTCTTCCCATTTTACAGTCATCACCCTCTTCTCCCTTTAGTTGTTTATGCTTAGAGGAGGGTCTCTGGAAAGTTGCGAAACGAGAAGTTCTGGCTCATCTTACTCTCGTTACGCCAACAAGTCGGACAGGATAGACGCTTCTTTGATGAAGTGTATTTGATCCGTCATCCGAAGAGGTCTGCGCTCAAGACCGATGCTTCTTCGTCTTGCTCGACTGCAAGAGACCTTTGAATGCGAGTGCAGAGTCATCCTCAAATACAGAAAAGTTTACCCGACTTGATCGACCTCGCTTCAACCCAGCATATGACGATGGACTTCTTCGGTAATGTTGAACGGATGTCAAGCCAAAGAGTGTGAGGTGAAAGCATGGAAAAGAGGGCAGAGGAAGGACAAATGTTGATATCAAGTGTGCCATTTCTTCTGTTGTCCCACTTGCTCGAATGCCATGTCATGATTCGATCTTGAGTGACTTACGAGATGACTTGTCATGAATCTTGAAAGGTTTCATCCGATCGAAAGAGGAAGATCTTGGCTGACTTGGACCCCATTCAGGCGTTCATACTTGTGAGCTCTTTCCTTGAAGTGATGCGGGTCGTGTTTGTGTTGATTGCCGCGATCAATGTTGTGTGACGACTTGAAAAGAGAAGTCTGTGATGCTGATTGTACGATGTGTGGATCTCGAGTGACAAGAGATTGATGCCGGTTGAATGAGATTGATGCCGGTTGAATGAGGTGTGATCATCGAATGAGAAGTGGATGATGCCGCTTGCGTGAGGACGCATATGAGATGGCGTTCATT